GGTGGGAAGGTGACATGAGTCATCGATCATGGCGTTAAAGTGGGGAGTCGCGCTTCATCGGGCTGCGTAAACGAGAGCGGAGGAGACACTGGTGTCACGGGTGACGAAATATGGAGGAAAGAGGAAGCCTCAGATGTCGTCATCTGTCACGGAAGGATGCTGTGCTTCCGAGACTCTGAAAATGAAGGTTACTTCATGTGTACTTTTGAGATGTTTGTATCGACATTTTAATCAATCAAGGGTTGGACAGAACCTTCCTTGAATCCCAATTCTGCCACATATTAAATTGTGAGAAATTGTAAGAAATTAACATTTCTCAACAACAATCAACATTTTTCAATGTCATCGGAACAGCTTGAGGAAGGCCTTTCTCTGTTGCTATCACTTACGTCCCAGTGCACAAAGCAAGACCCATAAAGGCATGTTGGGATGAGTTTGGTCGGGAAAAACCTGAGCCATGAAGAAGTTTTGGGATAAACTCGAAGCGATTGTGATTCTGGCCTTCTCTCAGGAACAACAAGAGTGACATTTGACAAATATTCTTACAGAGGCACTTATAAAAATATCATAAGGATCCGGACTGGCTAATCAGAACGGTCACGAGAATTCCCGACCTGTGAAGACACTCCCTAGATCCCACGGGTCCGTTTTGAAATTAGCAAACAGTGCCTTCAGTTACCTAAGCGGCCGTTTTGCCTTCTTGCTACAACTTAATTCCCAAATTACAGTAATCCCTCGTTTATCGCGGGGGTTACGTTCCAAAAACAACTCCGCCCCCGCCTACAAACAACTGACAGTTTTTAGAAATGCTGCACAGAACGTTCCGCCGACATTGTAGATTTTGTTATGGAGAAAATTTGGCAAGCTGTACAGCAGTGAGATGCGGAGACTGTTGACAGTCCCTGAACACATTCCGTTGTAATTTTCATTTTTGATCAAATATAGTATGAATGCCATATGGCAATCTTTTTGGAGGGAATAGGAAGCTCGACTAATACATTAATAAGAGTAAATAATACATCTTCAAGTAAAGTGGGCTGGTCTGAGTCAAGAAACAACAAGGCTGAAAATGAGTTCCACTCCCCAGTAGGGGATCCTCCTGGAACAGTACAAGCTCATGGGCCAATTCTACAATCTTATTTTCTTTGATCTTTCATTTCCCTAAATTTAAGACCCAGGCGTTGATGTTTAAGTCTCATTTTATCATGTTTATGGAACAACTTTGACTTTTTAATCATCTGACTTTATATGCTGTAATTTTGGCACTTCAAATGATACCACCCCTGATCTGACAATTTTGCCACCCCACAGCTCTCGCCACCTGTCCGTGTTTAAAACCCACCCGGTAAAAGCAGCCCACCCACTGATTCCCCGGTTCATTATGAAACAATTCCACAGGCTGCCGCCCAGTCTGATGAAGGAAAATGTGACTCGCACACATCTTGTTTTTGCTATTTGATGTACGAGTTGAATGCTGCATGAATGTATTGATGAAAGTGGGCAAAGACACTCACCGGTTGAGGAAGTCCCTGCTAGAGTGCCAGTCGGGTTCCTGCGATACATAAAAAAGTTCATGCTTTATGTTCCATTTGAAATGAATCAATCTGAAACGCTACTTCCACTTTAATTGTAATAACTAGATGGAGTATATTGGTCTTTGCATTTAAATTTAAAATAGTTTGGACATGAATAAAACATTTTTCTTCATTATGTCTATCCGTCTGTGATTCACACTCAATTGTGAATCAACATACCATCGGCTTACAGATGTTTGTGATGTGAGCTGGCATAACGAGTTAGTGGTTAACTTGATGGGTTGAAAGACGTGCGGGTGGTATTTAGGCAAACCTCAGACCTTCAGAAGGTGCAAATTATTGAAGATCGCAGGAAACTAGCACTGCAAGCATGGGCAAGAGCCAGATAGATGGAGGGAGAAACAGAAAAGATTAGCAAAAAACATGCAGCAGAAACCCAGGCTAAGGTTGAGAGTTCATTTCGATCAGTGAAAAGGGGCTAAAGCTGCCAGGTGGTGTCATCCTACCCTCACTTTTAAATGTTTCATAGACAACAACCTATGAGTAGAAACAAGAGCTCCTTCATGGAAAACCTGATTTTTAGCATATGGTCCACCAGCTGGAGTTTAAAGGTTCATCAAAGAGGAAGGTGCATTCATAACCATCATCGCCTGACACACACACACACACACACACACACACACACACACACACACACACACACACACACACACACACACACACACACACACACACACACACACACACACAGACAGAGGGTACCTTGCCGTTAGCTATCCTGTTACACCACATGCTTCAAAAACACAAGCGGAGTTCAGAGAAGGTTAGAAAGGCAGAAGGTTCTATAGCTTCGTGCTGCATTCACGTGCAGTGAAAAAGTAAAAATGACCTCAGAGATGCTTTACAGTTTATCAGGGAAAAAAAAACAAAATTTGGATCCAGAAGTTGAATGAGCATCGAACTAAATGAAAACAGCACGTGTTAGAGCATAGTTAATCTTGAAGCAGTAACTTCACACGCAATGGTAAAATAAAGACAATACGAAAGATGACTGCAACAAACTGTACTTTTTAATAAAACGCTATGCACTTTATTACAAAAAGGCATATCAAGCAATAACGGAACCTTGCTCTCAGTACATTACTTTTAAACAATACTGTCTGATGGGATCTGTAGTCTTTCCATAGCATGAGCTAGCACAAGGTAAGTTGACCTGTGTGGACAAAAACATTGGTTCAACAGTAACTAACACCCTGGTTTAAAAAGGCCAGTTATTACTGTAATCCAGCTGCATGTATATTCCCATTGAGTTGGGTAACGGCAGAGTAAACTGAAACAAAACTGAAAAATACTACGCTCAACCCAACACAAACATTTGTTAGTGACGGCGATGAAAACATCCTTTCACCAACCATCGCAGCAATGTCAATTGAAGTGAAGTGACAATCAAAACGATTATTGGAAGGATATGCATAGCTTACAAGAGGCAACCATCGGCAGAGGAAAACGCTATCGAGGAACTATCACAAAAGGAATCGAAAACATGCACAATTGCATTCACAAAAACAGCGTGGTCCTTACTTTATAACTTATTGATGGAAACAGAACAAAAATAAGAAAATGACCAAAGTAATACCAGACAGAGACATAACTTAATATGTACATTGTGGGTCACAGACAGTACAGAATCCTAACCTGAAGAAACGGATCACTTTGAGGGCAAGATGAGACTTAGTTGTAGTCAGGGTTAAAGGAGTGATGATGTAATGTGCTTAGTACAGTACTCAGGGTTCGACATTAATGGTGGCCCGATGGCCCAGGGTAATAACGCCACTGTTTCCAAGTCAATCTTTGGCGCAAAAGTGCATTGATTTCTGACACAAGCTGGCGGAAGAAGGATGTTTTAATGATGCAAGGACAAAATGTGCTTGCTTGAATGGATACAAGGGCATGAATCGGGGTTAACCTCATGTCCCCTGCCGCTAATTGATTTGTTCCAGTAGCAGCGGGACAACGGAACTGCAGCAAGGAATACGGGCAGCGACACAACGTGAAGCTTCATCACAAGACTATTCTGTCCAATAGTGTGCAGAAAACAACTCCGTGCTAACAAAAGCTTTATTCATCATCAAGGCTGTAGTGCACAACGAGCCCCAACACCATGACACTTTACGGCACTGTGTCATTACTATTGTCAACACGGCATCAATTGTTTTGCTGAAGCATAGCTAATGTTGAGTCATATTTTCATTCTTTGTTTTCATTTGTTTCTCTGCTGGTCATTCATAATCTGTCATGGCATGAGCACGTTCAGCTGAGCTACAAGGTTTGAGGAACATTTGCCCTGATAAATAAATATTTAATATTGCGCGTTGTTGGAATGTAAGCGCGAAATAAATGGTTTTAGATTTTTAGAATGTATTTATTCTTTAAAGCACTCATATTACTTGTGCAATTGCAACTCCTGTATGCTTTCGGTCAAGGGTGCCCAGCCTTTTTTGACCGAAGATCTACTTTTCAAGCCAACCAACCTCCCACAATCGACCCGTTATCGCAACAGCAGATTGCTGACCGCTAACAACTTCCGGTGATGCAGGTCATGCGCCACCGTAGGTTAAAGGTTAAAGTAGGTTAAAGTAAACAAAGTTACTCCAGCTGGGGATTAAATTCACACCGGAAAAATCATCACGGTTCACTGATAAAGCCATATGCTGTAAATAGTCCACCCGGCACATTCCACAAATAAATCTAAGAGCGTGGTCAAGTGGCAAATATAGTTGCATTTTATCCCATGTGTCTACATTTTGGTGAAAAGCCTAGTTTCTCTCGAGTTCATTAATCCACCATACCTATTCTTCATCCATGCAGCCCAGGCTCCCTGTTCACCTCTGAAAATATATTCAGGTGACTTCACTGAGTTGAAGATGAAGACAAAACTAGAAAGACTGGAGAAGCCTGGCTGAGCCACATCCAATATGGCTGCAAGCTAGTCACCTCGGCTGCTATGTAGATGTGGCAGCCATATTGGATGCGGCAAGTAATCGTCAAAGGAAGGAGCTGCTTGGAGAATGGTAGGAAATGGCGTCGGCTTTACCTGTAAATTCATATCAACACTATTGGCAGGGTGCGGGGAAATTCAATGCCCTACGGCGCCCAATGTGTGTATTGCACAACGACTGCATGTCACACTCTTAAGAGTCTGTCGACAATGTTCTGTGCACCCAAACTGGAAATTCGTCGTCGTTTGAAATGCCAGTGAAAAAACAAATTAATTTTACTCATCAATAACTGTATACTATTTATCCTGCTTATCTAAAAACGTTTTCAATCATTTTCAAGTATTTGTATTGTAATTTTTCCCTCTTCATTTTATTTTTGTCAATTTCGTTTTGTCCAAACTCTATTAACCCTCTATTGATAAGCCACCACTAGTACAGTATAAAGATACGTACTATATGTCAAATAGTGACGAAAACTAATGTATTATATCATGACTATACAGGCCCAGTACCGCTTCTGACAGGGCCACCACAAACTGGCTCATCGGGTCACCAAGAAGAAAGGCTTTATGTCGGACCCTGGTACGACAAATGCAGAGTGGGTGGATGAGTAGTAGTTGGTACTAGTAGTCAAAACCAGGGAAACAGAGTTGGCAAGAGAGTGCAAGAGCGCCACAAGCTGCCGGCAAAAAAACAGCCGGACTTTAAAAATCAAAGGCACCAAGTGAGGAAACAGGAACAGGAAGCCCAAATAGGAAGCGGATCATCATTGAGTCAACAGTTTAAGTCTCGTGATCCAACTGACCAGTAGCGAATGTTCGGCCGTTGTGCGCTTGGAGACCGCAGCTACTGGCGCTTTCTTGACATCCTCCTGGTAGGGGATGGTGGCGCTGTTGTGGAGGTCGGAGTTTGAGTAGTAGCGACTGCCTCGGATATGGTCCAATCTGACTAGCCGACGCTCCCCGGTCGGCATGTAGGTGGACGGAGACGCTGACGCCACTTCCTCGGCGATGGTGGGGATCCTCTCATTGCTCAGGTATCTAAACATGAGGTCCTCACCTTGACAGAATGATAAGTCATTTTAGATTTGCTATGCATCTTTGAAAAATATCCAGAGCATATTGAAAGCCGCTTTTGTCTATGGTGGTACAGGCCAAGGCTGCTCACTGTGGCACGGTATGAAACTATAAACCATATAGGCTTGCAAACAAGTGTGTCATAGTAAAATCTTCCTATTAGTTGGAAGATTGAAATAAGAATGCTGTTCATACCTTTCCTGTTCTGTGCCCATGGCTTAGCAAAGGGATCTACAATTGCAACACAAGTATCCACAGGCATGGAGAGTGGCCGGGGCTTACCTAGAAAACATGGGAGAGTATCAGTTATATGAACTACGGTACTGTATTATCTGTTCATGCGTTTATAAAGCGAAGGCACGCATTTTACATTAGAGATACCACATGCCACCAAACGAAAATGTCACAAAAAGTATGACTACTGAAATAATGATGGCTTCTCTCAATTGGCTCAAAAAAATGACTTGGTGTGAAATTTGGGCAGGTGTAATTGAACACGAAGTTGGTATACTTGCAGAAAACCATGACCTTTTCTCTTGTATAAATGGCTACAGGTTTATTGTCCCTTCTGTCATCAAATTTAACTGTTCTGCCTGTCACTACATGTTATTGGCAGAGATGGATTAATAAATATATATTTGTTGTTAATAAAACAGGATTTGCAGATAAATTCTGTGGAATCGGCTCACCCCGATGAACCTCATGGCACACCAGAGTGCCACGGCACCCTGGTTTGGAATCACTGTATTAACGGCACATAGGAGAAATACATATGATTAAAAAGTACAAACCACGAGAAGTCTTGTGCTCCCTCATTCTGGGCTGGATGACATTGGCATCGATTGGATAGCCGACACTTAGTTTGTCATAATCTGCAATGGTGCAGCGTTTCCTACTCTCCTGGTCCAGGAAGGAGTTGGGCGACTCCGAGCCTTTTGGCCTTTTACTAAAGCTAGAGAAGGCGTCTGTTCTTCCCTCTCTGCAAACAAGTACAACAGTGCAGGACTATTTTTAACAGCACAAAACAAAGCATGATTTGTATATGGCAAAGACATAGCTTAAAAAAATAAAAATCAGTCCCTCTATGATCTAAACGAATGTGGAACAATGTTGTCATCTCCCTGGAGGAGGAAGATAACAGTCATTGCATCAGGACGGTGGTAGGATTTGTGGGAGCAGAGTGGGTTGGAAAAAAGCAGAACAGACTATTCTGTAGGAGGTAAATGTCAGGCCGCAGCTACTTATTAGGAAGGAAGGATACTAAGAAACAACTTGCATCTTGTTGCATCTGTTTAATAAACTTGTTCAATCAATCTTCCCTCCATAGTCTAATCCACTTTTCTTTTCTTTTAGGGTCACAGGGAAGCCGGAGCCTACCAAAGCTTGCTAAGGGTGCTGAGAGGCAGTAAGCATAGACAAGAGACTGTCGGACACAAAATAGGCACGTTAAGAGTCTTCAACTAACCTAACATGCTGTATATGAATGCGTTTGACCTGCTGGAGTAAAGAGGAGTGCCTGAAGAAAACCGCCATACAAGTACACAGAAAAATTCCAAACAAAAATGCTTTGATCAAGATTCCAAGCAGCTTCCAACTTCACACCTTAGTGTGAGGCAGCAGTGTATCAAAAATACTGTAACTCCTGCACAAATGAGATGTTTCACCTTGGCGTGTACGGCATTTGAGGGGGAGGAGGGATGTAAAAATCAAGGAACGCTGGTTTCTCCTTTTTGGTTGATCCGTTAGCTGTACTGCAGGGGGACTGGGCTCGGATCATACAGGAATTGTTCTGGAAAAGACAGCAAGATAACTCAAACAATTGCAGACACAACAACATGGCGCCTTCAATCACTTTTCTGATCAGACCTTAGTAATATACTAGATAGTGGGGTCATTCCAGAATTTGATGACATTTTTACATCCCACTCATCAAATTTGAAATTATGCACATCCAAAATAGTAAAAAATGCAGTTTCTGAGTACATTTACTCGTCCTGAGCCCAAATCTCTGGACGAGTAAATGTCCGAGAAAAAAAAAAAACTATTGACCAAATCGAACCTCAAATAAAACACTTGAAATCTAATTTTAATTTCCTTTTTTTTTTTTTTTTTTTTTTTTTAAATAAAATGTGTTTCAATGATGGTTCCCGTATCTGTGGGAATATTTGTTTGAATAAGCATAAATAAGAATGATCATTCATGGAACGTGTGTCCCACAACATGCACGCAACCCTGTTCTGCATATGATCAGAATACAGAAATTCTTTAAAAAAAGTAATATATCTTTATTTACATGTTTGTCCTCTTGGTCAGCAGTATCAGTTCGCTAAATATCTTCTACCCCTAAACTAAAGCTAACATTCGTCCGGATTTGCAACCCTGTTACCAGCAAGCCTGTCACTGTCATTACAGTGGCAGGTATTGTAAAGACCAAATAAATCATGTCATAAAAATCGTACCATTGATCTAAACTTAGGAAATGAAATCACTGATAGTTTCTTAACTATTACTCATGACTATGTAGCAGAAAATTAGAAAATGAAAGTTTTATTTTTCAACAATGTTGAAGCCGAAATGTCCTCCATTTATGGAATGACCCAGTGAGTGTTCACAACGAAGACTGTAAATTAATAAAATAGCCTTTATACCGGTATACGGATCTCCGCACGGCTGCAATGTGTGCACATAAAACAATACAGCAAAGCATTCATTCAAGCCTAAAACAGAACACAAGACCAGTCGCTGTTTTTCTTGTAGGAGTCCAAGATAAACTGTGATGGCCAACACTGATATCTGTGACTACTTGTTAAAACAAGGTGCTGTGGGCATGTTGATAGCAGTCACCTTTGCGATGAGAGCCTTTTCTCAAAAACACGCTTATCTCATTCTATGACGACAAATGGAGGCTGCACAATCTGACAAAGGCGCAATTTGAATTTAAGTCGTCCACTTTCACAGCTGCTTTGTTTACTTGACATCTGCTTAAGGAGACTCAAGTGCAAAAATGCTTCTCATTCACTCGCTGTTAAGAAAAGCACATTGTCACTTAATATTTGCAAATTTGTACGATGCATGATTACCATGGATCATTGCAAGTTGTGTTTCATTTTAATAGCAACGTCCCGGGCTCTTGTTTCTAATTAACCAGATACAATCTGAGCAGATGCCGCCACTAAATCATGGCTGCTTTATCTCCCTCACTAAATCACGGGACTATGCCATTTATGACGGAGAACTCGGGCACTGAACTCTTCAGAGAGCCTTATTCAGACTTGTCTGGGCTTGTTGCTTTGGATTCCTGCCTGTAAAAAGCTTATAATTGATAGATAATGACTAGACATGCGTAGGAGGAAGTGCCGATCTACCTGAGGTACAGGAGGCTTCCAGCGCATATTCTTGAGAGGGGCGGGGGTAAAACCCGTTGTTCCTGTGGGTCGCTTCTTTAAGAGGAGGAACACACCTTTGGGATCCTCCCTTAGTTTCATGACCAGGTTTTTCAGCTGCCAACCCACCTGGATGACAGGAGTAGAACACACACACTGTCTCATTAACATTTGCTAGCAATACTATATTATGCTATCTCAAATACTGTGATATGAATGCATAAAACTGCATCAAATAATATTCTCACCACTGTCTGTTGATTGACCTGAATCACTTCATCACCAGCGTGGATCTTCCTGGTCAGGTCAGCAGGGGACTGAAGAACAAGCACAATTGTTCAACAAGTGTCTCATTTTTCATCCAATACATTAGTTCAGATCGTGTCCCATCTTTTATTGACGATATGATGATAGAACGCATTCAAATTCTACTCAAACAAACAGTGGGAAAACATCCAACACGAAGGACTGTTGTGGATGATTCAGATCGTGATTCACAAGGAGGGCCGGAGGCAAACGGATCCATACGTAAGAGTGATACTGGCGCATGAGTCGCTGCCTGAATGTGTCATCGCTGACTCAGGGGGAACTTTTGCATAGAATGTTTGTGTATGCGCAGAAACATGCAATTTTCACAAGCATCAACAGTTAGAGACCTCTTAAGAATTTATAAATTGTACAACTGGAGGAGGAAATGTGAAATGGAAAAGGTGAGAGCGAAGTGCTATTTGTTGCGTTAATACCTACATGTTCTGTGGTTCCAGTAATGACATGTAAGCCATCGTATGTCGACTTAATATACATCCCCTGGACAGGAAACACAAAAATAATGTACTTCATATTGTGATGAATACCTTTAAAAATGGAACATCTACAAGGGTCAGACGAAACATTCCTTACCAGTCCTTCGCCCGGTTTGATATTGGTCAACTGGACTTCCTCCAAGCAAGCAGACTGGCTCATCAGAGGGTCAGAGGTGGTTCTCACAGTCTGATCACAGATGTTGTTCAAAATCTTGGACTGGTAAAGGATCAAACAAACAAAAAATATATCAAATGATTGACAAGATCAATTCTATAATAATCTCAAAGTGCAGAGGCACAGCGGCTGTGTGAACGAGCACTTTGGACAGCGATGTCCCGCTTTGGTGAGTTACGTCATAAAAGGGGAGGGGTGAATAAATCCCCTCTATCCTCGAATGCGCCGATTGACCAGGAAGTCATCATGAAAGATGCTTTTGACTCTGTGTATGCCTCCATGTTAAAGCCATGTTTAATCTGAATGGATCAATTCAATGCATCGGTGTTCTCAGAACATGCAAAGTAATCCCATGCATGTCGTTGAGTTTTTCCTCATTAGATGGGCCTTTCCACTGATGCTTCTTGAGGGATTTTATTGCTACAGCCAAGTATGAAGAAGTAGAGTATCCAATTGTACATGGTACCTGGCTTATCCATTCAGTGATCAGTTTTTGTGTGTTTACTGTTTTCATTTAAACTTATTCAATACACAATGTGTAAATCTGGGCTATATTTTAAAAATTCCGCTTGAGAGAAAGTGCAACAGTGAGCTACAGGAAGCCCCTGGAGCCCGAACAGTGTCTGCAAAAGGAAGCATTCATTGACTAATGGCCTGGTTGCAAGAGGCAATGTCTTAGACCCATCGTCACTGTCAAAGAAGAACAATAAACCGGGTGCTGAGATAAAACCCTGCAATGTCTGAGTGAAAAGTTTCTACTGTCTCTCCAAAAATGATCACTTGAAATGAAAGCAAGAAAGTGACGCATGCATCCAGGATACTTACTACTTCTAGGATTTTTTCTTCCATCTCATAAACACAGCAGTCCTGTTAAAAGGGAAGAAAAGGGATTAGGAACCGGAGCAGCAAACAACAATGTAACAGAAGATGCAGTCATAACAGGAGTTGGTGAAAAAAAACAATCATCTATCCAGGTATGGAAAATTGAGGGAAATTCAGAACTGCCAAAAAAAAAAAAAACAAAACAGCATGTACATTAAAATTGCACCCCTGCTTAAATCGACGGGAACTATAATCAAACGACTCCCCGAGTGGTTCACTTCACTATCATTGGGACTTAAAGGCCACTGAAGCATGTCGGAACAAAGCGCAGCTGACATTGGGGCCGAAGTGGTGACCTGAACAATGAAAAGAAAATCTTCAACTAAACGGTGCTCCTCAGTGGAGGCCTTGTTGGTCACCACAGTAGTCGCAACAAGTCCAAAAAGCCATAGTAGCTGTGCAGGTCATTTCAGAGCGATGACCCAGCGATCAGTTCTGCGAAGTCAACTAGGAGGTAACGGGAGCCAAAAGAGTGCTTTCACTGCAGCTGGACTGCACACAGCTGAGGCAACAGCCTCCCCTGACAACTGTGTCAACCCTGGTGAAAAGAGACTGTGAAAGGATCGGGGTTCACCCTGTCTGTGGGGGTGGGGGCTGTTTGTTTTCAAAACTGGCTCTGACACGGATGAGTGCTACCACAAAGGAGGCCAGCCATAAAAACACAGGTGAAGTGCTTCATTCACAGCTTGACAACAAAGAATCCACGTTAACCTGCAACAAACCTGAATCTATGCACAAATAAAATGCAGGCCAAAAAGTATGAACGGTTGTAATGACAACATGTGTGCCCTATAACAAAGATAGCTATTTTTTATTTTTTTTTTGCAAATCCTTTGTGCAGATATACAATGGGGGGCTAAATGAGTTTGCCTCGACTTCTATTGACCTGTTGCAGCGAAGTCACGTAATCACGTGAGTACAACATTAAGGACGGCAAAAGTTAATGGCTGCCAGATCGAAGTGGACAGAAAATGGAGCCACGGGAAAGCAGCACAAAACACAGCGAGAGCTAGCGAGACATACAGACGAGCGAGAGCTAGCGAGCCACATGGACTCCACCTTTCACTACCTGTCAAGGTCGGGTCCATTTTGCTTCCTTTTTCTCCACAGGCATTGGCAGCACTGGTTGAGCCCAGCGACATGCCGTAATTCAATGATTATGAATAAAATATATGAAAAGTGAAGACTGATCGCTGAAAATCCTTGAATACTTTGAAGGTTGTCGGTCCTTTTGGTTTGCTGCTGCTATCCATCGCCGGCATGTGATAAAAAGCCAAATTTGGTTAACACCCTTGTCTATGACCACATCTAACCACACAGCGAGATACGACCATTTTAGAAGATAATCGCCTATATATATATATATATATATATATATATATACACATACTGTATATACAGTACATAGATATAAATATAGATATATAGATATAAATAGATGCAGGATGATACGCTTTACAGGGGTTTCAACAGGTGCAAATAGTTATTTTCCCGTCCGTCGTGGCGGAGGGGGTGTCCTACGAAGGCTGTGACGTTAACGCACAAAAGGTGAATAGTTTGCAAATTCCACTGGACCAAAGGCTAGCATCAGTGATCAATTATACTTGTAAAGATGTGTTTGGTTTGCTGTCTGCTTCTAGTGCTCCGTGAATACATTTTATAATCTTTTGACATGCCAAAATGTAGTGTGGAAGATCCATGCCTCAACATCTGTTCAAAAGATTTAGCTGCTATGGTGAAGTCGTGTGCACGTGACTGCCACATTTCCATCACTTTATGAAAAGCTAGCGTAAAAAGAAAATGGGGAAAAACACTGATGATAGGTTGCATCTGATACACAGTGGACTGGTCTCAAAACGTTTACTTCATTACGGCTTTCTCTCTAAAGACAAGGACAAATAAAGTGGAGTACTGTATTCAGAACGAGTGAGAGATACAGATACACTAGTATTACATTACATATTTCAGATACTTTTGCCCAATCCAAAAGGAAAGTTGCTGTGTTTAAAGGCCACGAAAGAAAACGGAATCACATTGTTTGACAGGCACTGCTTGGCACAATTTCCATGAAGTTGCAATATCTTATGACTCCATCAGTACATGCCTTCCTGAACCTCAGATTTATCCTGTAGATGTGCCTGAAGCTGAATCATAACTAGCAGTCAATAAACAGTCAAAATGACAATTCGGCGAGTGAAGCGATCCTTCACGCTTTTGGACTTGCGCCCCCGCCCCCCAGAGTGGATCAGATGACTGTTTCTAAGAGGCTTTCGGGCCTTTGATCTGCCACCAGAGCAGATTTGTATGGTTGAGCAACGATGCGATACATAGTGGTGGCACGGTGTGGGAACACGTCGGGACTTCAAAATAAAAGCCATGACTGCAACACGTAAATCATATTGTGTGGATTAAACGTTCCAAAGTATATTCCGATTCAAACCTTTGGATGACACAAGGTTGTTCAAAACATCAGTCGAAAAAAAAAAGAACAATGAATAACATTGGAATGAATCTGAAAGACTGTGACCTAAATTTAAAACGTGTCAGCCAAGATGTGCAACATCTTCACAGTTTCATGACTGAGTCTTATTGCACGTGTAAACACAGGTTTCATTCAAGCAGATGTAAATTGCATGACCTGAAAAACAACTTGTGTGTAAAACTGATGCCACCCTTGGAATTTGAATCACTCACGCATCAGATACAAACTCTCATTAAGCAGTAAGCAATTCACTCACAGAATGCCCCAAGAGCAAGGAGGGTGACAAATTAAGATTTGTTGATATCTATTCCTACCTTTCACAAGCCCCTTAACATGTGCCATTAAATTGTAACTGCTCAACGCTTTTAGCATCTATGAAGCACCTATTCTCCAAAAGTAGCACTTAAAAGGTGGCCCTAGGTGTTGACACTTTGCCAACTGTAAGACGCTAACCTCTACAGAAATGGTGTGTTCGCACCTAACAGAAAAGTGAACAGTGAAAATTGGCAATTAAAAGAAGAAGGCACTGAAAAATATGCATGTAATTCTCCCTCCAACCAGCCCAAGACCCACGTGCTTAACAAGTCAGGAAGATGAGAGCCACTTCCTCCAGTTCGAATTGGCATTATGAGATGAAGCATTGGAATTTTGACGTTTCCTCAAAAGTCGAAGGTTGAGGCAACCAACATGAATGGCGTGATTTGGGAGTCTTGTCACATCTGTGACACAGCAAGAAAAAGCAAGCGTGGCCCCTTGTGATTTGTATTTGAGTATCCCTGTCGACACCATAATCTCTGTGATTCACTTGGCAGTGTGGGAATTGTACACCCCCCACTTCTACTAGATGACCATGACGAGGGCAACCACAGTAAATCAGCAGAGGTTTTGAAATCCCCAACACTGGCGAGGAAATGTGCACCCTGGGAAAGGAATTCATTATGATGCAATAAGCCTCTTTAAAAAAAACAAAGCAAAAAAAAAAAAAAAAAAACACCTGGGGTCTCCAAACTACTGTAGACATTGAACACTCACATATTCTTGGAAAACTAACTACCAGACTCTGTCGACAATAGGATGACAAAATATGACAGCAATTCTCTGAAAATAATAAATAAATAACAAAAACGGCGGGGCAATATGTAAAAAACTCAAAAGCAATTATCAAAGGACAGAAAGGGGTTCTCCCTTGTAGCAAGTGGAAAGCTCCTCAAAAAAAAAACAACCACCATGCTTGCAATTATCTGTTCAGACTGAGGGTTGTGGGCTTCTGTCATGCTTGCCAGACCACATTTCCCATAACACTTCTCTCCTTCGCTTGATCCTGCATGTCTGTGCCCCTGGGCTGGTATGTGCTCAGTGTTTTTCACAATTGTGTGTAGGTGGGTTTCTCAGCGGCCGGCTATACATGTCCTGTTGTCCTAAAAAGTGTGCAAACCTGTTGAACTGTGGTGGTGAGCTCCAGGCAGAGATGAATGATCTTGTTCTTGGTGGCTGTGAAGTCACTGATCCCTGTGAGAGGTGTCCTGTCACAAACAAGTCCGAGAAAAAAAACAATTAAAAGTAGTGATGGACTGCAGTGATCGCCTGCAGTTTGGGAAGCACATTTCAGCCAGTACCTGTTAAAAAGTACAATAGTAAACTTTGAAATGTAGAATAATAAGATCAATATAAGCAACATTGTAGCTATATAAAAACCCGTGACACATTGAGAGGGGAAAAAAGCGTTATAAACGATATGGTGCGCATTGTACAATATTTGGGTGACTAGCCAGAAATACAAACTTAAATGAAATTTAACTATGATTTTCTTCCTTCCTTACAACATGTGGACAGCTGTGCTGGGACACAGTTACATCCACAAGATATGAAAACGAAAGAAAATAGCAATGGAGTTGGCCCTCCACTATTTTGGGAAGATAGGCTTTGAGATTTGGGATGCTGTGAGACATTTTGTCAGGTCAAAGGTTACTGATGTTGGATGACGTTGACGGGGGCAGCCATCCTTAGGGTGAGCCGAGTTCAAGGATCTGTGCTTCTCCAACCATGCTTCTATTGAACTTGTTTTGTACACACCATTGGATGCATACAATTGGCCACACACCATGACTCAGCAAGATCAAGCATTGAGATTCAGGTGGAGCAAATGCACCTAGTCTAAACCGATACATTTATGAATGAAGAGGAGGGTGCCAAAACTTCTATCCATTTCATTTATATCAGCATCACACGTATTTCAGAACATTTATTAGTTTCTTCTTTATTTGTCTTCAGAGGTGCACTGAATTAATCCTATACAAAAACATGTTTTTCTTTCACTCTACTCAACACACACAAGGAGGGACTAATACACCCATTTTAGTTAAAGTGGCACATTATGGAAAGTGACTTTGTGGTTGCTTCTATTCAATCAAGTGGTCCTCTGGTGAGATCGTCCACCGTCGAGTGTGAAATCAAAACCAAGTAAATCTTGTTATCTGTCTGTTCCTGTGACATCACAATCGGCACTTTACATACTAACCAGCCCCAGTGTCGGGTTCTCCAAACATGACTTGGAAGCTAGGCTGGGTCAAGATGCACCACTTTCAATGCCACATACTACACTGTCTGAAACACTTCGGTTAAGGCCAACAGGTAAGCAGAACTGTGTTGAAATTTGTTGGATGAAGAGCTGAGCATTAGCATTTGCTTCTGATAAGTGGCACATACATGAATTATTGGTCAACAAGGTGGGCGTGGGGGGGCATTGAAGTTGATCATGTGTGCCCTGCATGTATCACATGTCGCGATCTGCCAACTCTTTGACAAGTGTCTCAAGTGTAGTACATAAAGTGCTGCCTCCACGCTTTTAATGTCTTCACAGGCGCTCTGGGCTTCACTTCCGCAATTAAAAGCAGCTTGCCTTGTTGAACCGCCTAGCTGTGCCCCTGGTTGTCTTGGTAACGAAAGCTGTACTCTGCTTTGTCACTGCTGAAGAGCCCTTGCACATTTTCATGGGACAGGATCGCCACCTCAAAACAATCTTGAGTTTCAGATGCTTAAATCATGCAGGTGTAAATTGTAATTTAATTCTTAAGGCTTGGGGCATTTAAAGAACACCTGGGAACTATTTTAAATAATAAACAAAATCATGTGTCCTTTAATATTCTGTTGTGTGATAATGATACTCCAAAGGCACTTTTACTGTGTCGACTAGTGGCATTGTGAGCCATGGTGTGAAAGCACTTACCGGTCAAGCCAAGCCAGGAGGCTCTTCGCAGCACCAATGAGCTCCACCACACATGTGAGAAAGTCATTAGGTGGCTTTCGTGAGGCACTCTCATCATACACCGGGCTCTTCCTACGATCAGATGTGGCCATGTGGAGACTGTTGGTGGCTGCTCTCATCCTCACCACTAGGTCCTTCAAGTTGTCTGTCTCCACACCATAGTTCTGAAACAGTGAACATATACACAATGACAATTTTCAATCAAGTTAAACGGGCTGAGACTCTGGCTGTTGCTTGATTGCTTGAGAGAGTGTGGCCAGAGTGTTCACGTGTCATCTGATTCCGATCATGAAGAGCAAAGCATTCTTGTGCCTGGGCTGGGCTTATTTCCGGTCATTAAATTCCCCTATTTTATCACTGCTCCACGTGTACAAAATAGCCCAAATCAGTCTTCATGGGTCATTAAACAGTGGCCCGGTTGGAAATAAACATACGTCACGAGTTGGAAAATTTACAAATCAATTTGTATTGTATCTGTATTGAAAGAAATCGTTTGTAATACGTCTCTAGCTTGTTAAAGTTGAGCAGCATGAATATAATCTCTGCTGCCCTCGTAAATATCAGCTTGCAGGGTGTTGCAACACTGCCAACAATCCTGCTGTTCAGACTGATGTGCCAGAAGCTAAATTTGCTTGCAAAGAGAAACACGGCACATGTCGAGCCAATAAAGGAGATCTCTGAGACGTCAGTGTCTGCTTTTATTCCACTCCCCCCTCCTTAAAACACAGGTCTTTTCACTAATATCAGTGTTCAAATAATTACTGGAATGATTTTGTCTGACACACAGTGACTGTAGGCTGCCTGACTTGGTACAGGACATCGACTGGGTTAGCACTGAAATCATTTAGCAAATGTTTACTGTTCATGAATACAACAGTGTCATATATTTAAAAATATAGCACACACACACACACACACACACACACACACACAATCACACACACGTATTTACATATACATACAGAAACTGGACAAAACTTTTGGTACGACTCTGTTAACGAAAGAAAAAAAAAAGATGGTTCTGTACCCCTAAGAAGATAAAAAAACAATTTGACCAAAGGGTCATGTCCTCCAATCAGCATCACGGGTGCCAATTTAAAGAGTGACATCTGGTCAAATGATGTGTACCACACTAAACATGGACCAGAGGAAACTAAGGAGAGAGTTGTCTCAGGAAATTAGAAAGCAAATGATAGACGACTTCCCTGGATGTGTGTGCAGGAGGAAACTTGATAACAAATTCAAGAGACAGATAACACGAATGGTAAAAGAAAGGCTCAAAACAACCTCCAAAGAAATTAAAGGTGAACTCCAAGATCAGCTGTGAGAATGACCTCCGGACAGACAAGAGAAAACTGGAACTTTTTGGCACATCAGCTTTATGTTCATAGATGCAAACATGAATCTCAGCAAGAAAAGTACACCATCCCTACTGTGAAACATGCAGAAGGCTCTGTTGTTTTCTGGGGCTGCTTTCCTACATCTGGCACAGGATGTCATTAATCTGTCCAGAGTACAATGAAATCTTAAGACTATCAAGGTATTCTTGAGAGAAACGTCCTGTCAAATGTCAGAGAGATCGATCTTCGTCACAGGTCATGGATGGGTCTTGCAACAAGATAATGACCGAAAATACACAGCTAAAACCACCCAAGCAGGGATCAGAACAAAAACATTGGACAATTGTGAAATGACCTTCTATGAGCCCTCATCTAAATCCGATTGAACATATGTGGAAAGAGCTGAAACATAGCGTCGAGAGAAAGCAGCCTTCAAACCTGAGGCTACTGGAGCAGTTTGGGCAAGAAGAGTGGCCCAAAATCCCTGCCGATAGGTGCAGAAGTCTCATTGAAAATTACAAAAATCAGTTTGCTTGCGGTGATTTATAATGTGGTATTTTATTGACCGCACCATTTAAAGTCAAATAAAAATCCATTCTGGACCAATTAGAACCTCAAAATTCATTTCAAACACAATGTTTTCTTTATGCATATCCCAATTTGACATCATTGTTGATATTACATTCATAAATACACTAGGTGCACGACGGTGCAAGTAGGAGTCTGAAAGTTGGGGGAGTTATCTAACAGGAGTGTAATGAATGTTTCCTTCAAAGTGAAAGATAGCTATCACAACATAGCACTTGCTGTTCTTTCCACAGGCTGTATATAGCCAGACTGGCTGATAAACACGCTGTGTATTTTGCATAAATAAGCTATAATATGGCATCTAAAAATAAGTCTTATTCCGCATTGGAGCACATCCGCTGACAATAGCAAAATAAATGAGCAGGACTTCTGGGGCTCTTTACATGGTTTTATTTCTATTAATGTTCTAATGTATGAGTTTGTCTCAGGAGGGATTTGAACTTCCACAAACGTTTTGGGTTCCACAGACACTGCAAATGGCATCATGGGTCACACAAGTCCAGAAAAACTAAACAGAATGTTCTTTGTTTGTCTTTGAACTGCAGTGGCCGCCCAATGGCTTGTGGGGAAGAGCACCACTGTTTCCTGTGGAGCTATGGGACAGCTGTGGGGCAGCATTTTGGCCCATCAGTCATTCTGATTGCACTTGGCCAACAGGCAATATCCTTTTCCATAAGTGATGTTGAGCAGTTTACAGTACTTTGTGGAATAATACTCGAAATGCATAGTCGAGCTTGGATTTTAACACCAAATCCGTGTTTGCTTTTCATTTACCGTTTAAGCAGCGAGTCCCAAATCAATTCGAATGGGTTACTAAACTTGTGGTGAAAAAAAATGTCAGACCAAGAATTGAAAAATCTATTTTCATCTTCTATAGCGCTTTATCTACGCCATATATTGTCAAAAGTGCTTGACCGAGCCTCATATTCACTTCTTTAAAAACTTATCAGTATACACTAACATGCTAATGCATGCAAAATGCATAAAGGTTTTCCCTTTTAGTTGACTTACTGAAACACAAATATGTAAAAGGTCCACTGTAATACAGTAACGTATTTATAACCCACCCCCCCCCTAAAAAAAAAAAAAAAAAAAAAAATGGGGTCATGAAAAAAAATTCCAAACTGCCAGTTACCCATCCATGTACAAGAAAGTGTCAAAACAAGAACTTGGACAAGGAGTAGGTGAGGGGCTTTGGTGGCCTTGTTATTCGCAATGACTTTGCCTCAATTTAAACTAATCCAGAACTAAATACCTTAACTTTCAGGGAAGAGCAAGAGAATGAAGATAACATGCACCAAACCAAACACTTATTTACTCATCATTACACTATTGGCAGTCTAACATCATCCATTCTGTAAAATCAGACAAATGTTGAGGGGACCATGAGGCAGACCAGTTCCATACTAATACTGGGCAAATTATTCAAGATAAGCTATTGAGACACTCCAACACCATCCAGTTGGAACTCAACAATATATCCACTGAGCTGAACTGTTACACGCGACATTCCTTTACTTTGCCAAGTGCTCCTTGGAGGCCATAAGAGTTAGGATTGGAGTGTTGCACTGGTAAAAAGATGTTGGACCGCTAGATGCACAGGAACATAGACTGTTCCATGGAAAGGAACCTGTTCCAGCGCATGGAACAGAAAAACAATGCAGCTCGTTAACGTTCAAAGAAAGTCTTTCCATGTGTTCCTCTCCTAGAAAGCGAGGTAAAGACGACGATGCTTCGAACATTACACAAGAAACATGGTCTCTCTTAACCCATACACATCAGCTGAATCAAACCTGCAAATTTTGAATTTGAAAGTACACATCCAAATGTATTATACAGCATGGAAGACTTTGAGCAAGTTCATGAGCAGGGAATGGGTTTTACACTCCAAATAAACCTGTTTGGCCTGTTGTCCACATGACCCAAAAGTACCCAACAGTGTGAAGTGGATTTGAATTTTTAATCAACTTGAAAACAAGATGACCCCTTGAACGGAAGTGATAAGGTTATGTTTGGGAGAAAAAGAAAAAGTTGAAGACAACCAAACCCAACATTTGAATGCAAAGACCTCTTTAAAAGAGCATAATGACAGAAAATGCTGACACAGATGAAAATACATGGACCACAATCTGAGACTTTCATGGGACAGGAAGTGATAAAATCCCAAATCAATTCCATCTGCTGGAAAAGTTAATTCCTTCTTAGCTGGACCGTTTGTAGTGCTGCTGCTTTGATGCTAACTGGCACCCAAGTGCTTACATACAAGGATGGAAGACATATTCAGTATATGAGGAGAAAGCAAACACATGTGTTGGAAGGGACAAGTATGGGAGACAAAGAGTCCACTGGTGCATCAGGCAAAGTGTAGTGAACAGTACAATCGCTTTTTGCTCTGGACTTGAATTATTTTATATCAGACCTATGCTCTTTTTTTTTTCCTTCACTAAATCATACGTGATCAACATAGACCTTTTATTCCAAAAATTGGTTAAGGGCACCAATAGTGGCTCTTTATAACCCCGCAATTTCTAAAGAAAAAAAAAAACTCTTGTTCCCCAGAGCACACAAGCAACTTCATGTGTTTTGAGCCTCCATCGGCAGGGTAATGATGCTTAATTCCATCGCCGCTCCCTTCAGCTGCCCAACAACAAACTAAAGACTGAATTTGTGATGAATACACTGCAAGATCGGAGAGGTGGCCAGCCAAATGAACAAAAGGCTCACCTTTTGCTACTACCTAAAATCAATTATTGCAGGTTGGAACTACTCTTACAAGCTTTTTTTTTTTTTTAAAATATAATTCACTGATTGATGAGTTCTACCCACCAGAGCGCATAGCAGATCAACAGCTTCCAGCACCAGCTCCTGGTGTCCAATTCTTGCCACACCGAGCTCCTCCAAGTCTTGATGCGTGATCTTCAGTAACTGTTCTCCACTGATTTTCTCCCGCTCAAAGTTGCTCACGTACTGCTGCAAGCTTTCATCCAAACCTGGACGCACATGAAAAAAAAGAGAGTGGCGTATGTTTACTTCGCTCAGACTGCAGCAAATATCATCACAAGCATTTGCCCCTTTAATTTGCATGCGAAATCCTTATTTGCGTGTACATATTGTTGGTTGTGTGTGTGTGTGTGTGTGTGTGTGTGTGTGTGTGTGTGTGTAAAAACAATGCGGAGGAGTAACAGGTGGGACTGATAACTTTGCAAGATAAACACACTACAAACAGAGCAACAGTTGAGACAGCCAAGTCTGTTAGGCTAGTTAAACAATGGAGGGCTATATTTGTGCAAGTGCGTGTGTGTGTGTGTGTGTGTGTGTGTGTGTGCCAACCGCCTAATGCTACTGTAGTTGGATTAATGCATTGACTGGACAATGGACAGCCACGCTAACAACCCTGGTACTAAGAAGTCAAACATGTATAAATCATTCAAAGAAAATGTTTAGTTCCGGTAGCCCAACGTGAGCTATATACAATATGACAAGACATGAAAACACACAAACACCCCACATTCAACTTTTCATTCATTAATCTTTAGAGTGTGTCTGTCTGTGTATGTGCACACATTTGCAGAACGCCATCATTCTTCCAATGAAAGAGCGTACAGAAAGGGGGCAGCTGCAGATGCATGGCTCTGTGCCCTGCTTCTTAAAAAGACCCGTCAGCTGTGAGACCCCCTCAGTCACAACTCCAAGTCCAACCTCCCCACACACAGATATTCCTCAGTACAAGGCAGGATTTGGTAGCCCTAACTCATCTTGAAATTCAAGTCACAAGGAGGTTTTTTCCCCCCCTGAGAATATAAAACATAGCAAGAAATCAGTGGAGCCTCATAAAATACAGAGCATGAATTTATGAGAGACAACCCACTAGGTGCGCCTTCTAGTCACCAAGACATTTATCTAACAAGGCACATCATATTTTATCTCTCATCTACACTCACTGTGGGTCATGAGCGTGGGCATCAAATTGGAAGCCATGACAAGAATGTTAACCCTTGAAAGGGGATGAATCGTTAAAATGGCACGCTCAATAATTCATATACTTACAGACCCACTGAGATAAAATGGCAGTGGATTAATTTCTGACCTCTTAGAAGTGCAGTGAACCAACTCAAATTTGAGTATAAAAAGGTGAATTGACTTTGAAATACTCATGCGTGATGAAAATGGTAAAGCTCTGAAAGCTCACAGAAACATGCGAGCCTGCATTGAAGCAACTCACGGCACACTATGACAGTTGGTCGAATAAATCTGTTTGTTGTGGTCTGAGTCTGCACTCAAGCCATCGCAGCGGAGTCAAAGGAAAACCAATTGTGGCTTGTGAGCCATTTGTCTGCGCACAAGCCAAATCCAGTTAGGCTCATGAGATGTTTCTCATTCCTTGGCATGCAAATTCCTCAAGACCACATTAAGGAAGTTTGGGCTTAACCTCTGAATGGCCAGCTGCAACGAAAAACACAATATTACACGCAAGACCAACAAAAATAACTGAGCAACGCGGGAAAAGGAAGATAAAGTCAAACTAAATGTAAACACTGAGCCAGCTACCAGGGAGCAAAAGAAAATAAATCTTGGGTTAGCAAGGCCAAAGGGAATTACGTCACATTTTAGTCAACTGTCAGAAGAAACGTCACAAAGAAGGCTAGCAAACAATTGACAGATTGGTACCTGTACATTTGTCAACCAAATGCTGTTGGGGGTATGATTCAACTGGCGATACTAGTGTCATAATGTGAGAGGAAGGGAACGCAGCGCTTGCGTGAAAGCTTTTCAAAAGCTGTGCACTATGAAAAAGCTTTGACAGAGTTTTATGGCTTCTGTGAAGCACTTGGCAAAAGTCCTCGGACCAAACCAAGAGGGTGTAACTCCGCAGCGGAGACATAAACACACACCACCAATGTCAAATACAATCATGTTGATATACAGCTGGGACCATATTTACAGCTCACCAATGTTGGGTTCGATTGAAGCCAAAGTGCAATAACTCATTAAATGCGTTGATTTTAATCAGTTCAATTGAAAAACGATTTGTTAGTGTTATCCTTTTATTGCTCGTACCATTTGGTTTCCTTTGATAATGTTCTCCGCCTGTGTTTGTGAGTAAGCAGCTTATTAGATTCATATCAATGATTCCTGTTTGTCCGCAACAGGTTGTGTACTGTATACGAGTGATTTACCCACAGGCAGGCATAACTATGGGGAGCTTGGAAAGCTCTGGGCACAGAAACTCCAGTCTGGACCGCGTAAGTGGAACTACAGTATACCCCCGAGGCGAGGGAGACAATCAAGACCCACAGCAAACTTCATGGTTGGTTGGGTAAGCACACATTTCTGTCAACATAAAGAAGAGAACCCATCTTCTTGCCAATGTCTGTGCTATTCTTGTCACAATCTCAATATTTCCCATAAGCAAAGGCAAACCAAAAGTGCAGATTGGGTTCTTCATGGCTTCATCTGTGACAGTATTTGTGCACTCTTCAGTGGGGGACAAAGAAACACTGAATTCCATTTTCGATACCGATTATGCAATGACACAGTTTCTATCAGTCTGTACCAGCTGAGTTTAGATGAGAGACGAGGTACACACCGGACTGATTGTGAATGAAAGATTTGTTTCTCACCAGTGTGAAAAATTATGTTTAAAAAAAAAAAAAAAAACAGCTAACAGACAAAAATGAAACTAACATAAAAGTAACTCAACTTAAAATTAGATTGTACGTTTCACTCCTCCTTATTTACTCTTACCCCTTCTTGACAACCCTGTATATTCTTTAAAATATTGTACTATAGTATTATAATAAATAATCATTGTTAAGAAATATTGATATACAATACATACACATCCTTATTCCTCTCCACACCAAATACTTAATCATTATAACTTATCATTGCAAGTTGTCATTCTAAGTTGTATATACACAACGCTAACACAATGTGAAAAAGACAGTGAGGCCACAAAAATCTCATTAGGTGTGCCACGGGAAACTACCCAATTTCAATTCATTGGTCCAATACAATAATTTACAGGCGATGCGTTTCCACTTTTTTCCACAAACTTTGAACCCTGCGGCTTGTAACGTGACGCGGTTTCAAAAGAAAAAAGGTAAAGAAATAGTTTTAAAAAATCCATTTGTGTGACTTCTTTCTTCGCAAACATCCCATGTTAAAACCTAGAGACCTGTGGCTATTAATACGAACCGGCCACCGTACTGTATCTACAAATTTGTTTGGCAAATATTTTTTGGAATTACAAATAACTTCTTTGTTCATCAGATTTCGAACAAAGTAAATTTGTCGGCAAATCAATATATCATACGGTAATTATTTCAGGATACATAACTTGTGTGAAAAAGAAATATATATTACACACACACACACACACACACACACACACACACACACACACACACACACTATATATCTTTGTCAGTGTGCCGTGCGATACATGTAAAACATGGGCCTTGGGAAACACGCACACACAAAAGAGTGAACAGCCTTTCATTTGCACGAGAAAAAAAACTCGGTAAACTCCTTCTACCAGATCTCTCCCATCTTTCAACCACTCCCTTTGCTCCCATTGGGAGTGGTAGCCGCTCTCTAACGCACACAAACAAACATGCACCAAGATCCCCAACTGAGGTGGCCACTGGGAACACGACTGGGTGTACAATGGTGAAGCCACTGTAACTCTGCTGTTTTTATTTGTCAGCCAGCCCTCTGAACCTGCAGGGAATGGTCAGGAATTTGACTCATTGTTCCCCAGTGAGCAGCACCATTGTGGGAATTCACAGCACTCGGGCACAATGGACTCTGGCTGGGCCAGGCTGTGCTGTAATTAGAAAGAAAGAGCTTGTCTCTGCAACTGCAAAGCTATCTTGTAATGCATGACTTCACAGAACAACAAAACCTGGATAGACAACGGGCTGGTCAGTTCCAATGGGAACTGGGAAAAAGAGTCGGACAATAGGGCTCTCCGTGTTGTGTCTTTTGCAAAAATGTGTGCTTATTAGACAACAAACAGTGTGACTAGAATCGTTTTGGGGGGGACATGCTTTGAGATACTGCAACTTCAACATTTTCAGTGACGAATTAAATTGTTTTACGTTTTCAGTCTTATCATGGCTTCCACTCTCTGCCAACAATGAGTGTTTCACCCCATCTACCAGAGTGAAAATAAAACAGACAATTACGTATCGGTGGTGACGTATCCAGGGTGGGTTTCCCAAGTGAAAAAAGCAGCTGGGGCTGCTCTCTAACTTGATGGACGATGACTGATGGGATAAGAGCGGGTTAAAGTCCACAGGCCTGCTTGTGTTGAAGCATATGAACAAGGACGAGTGTGCAAGTTCATCCATCGCTGCTCGTTTTCTAAAACAGCTTTCACGTAGAATTTGAAGTGAATAATGCATTTAATTTGCAGATGTGTCATTCAGACACAGCAATTCGTTTTTAATCGGAGACATTTAAAAATTTTAATTGCTCGGTATTTTCCATACAAAGGTGTTACTTTTGTTGTGGTCAGGTCAGCGGTGACTGATATCTGGCGGCAGTTGTCTAAACAGAATTACAAGACAGCGCATCGGGGCCAGGCAGCACTTCCGGGAAGATAAAAGTGATGGCGGACACACCGGACCCGACGCTAACTACGACATGCCTTCTGCACATGCATGAAACCTAATACCGCTGCACACCATTGGCGGCAGTAGTCAGAGTTCCTCATTCTAACAAAAAAGTAACTAGAACTGCTAGTTTGGAAGGTCTACTAGTGTGGAATTTTGTGTGCGTAAACAAAGCTTCCTGTTCCATTTCGGTGGACGTTTCATCGATATACGTGTGATGAGATGAAAATAATGTCCAGAATGAGCAACACCTGTGCATGGCTTCTTTGGATGACTACTTCACCACCATTTGTTTGCTGTCTTCTCTTCCGATTCTTGCCTCGAGCACTAATCCGCTCGCAACCAGCCAATTGGCATGATCAATTATCGTC